GCCCCCTGCACGCCTCTCAGTTCCCTCCCACAACAACCCCTTTCTCGCTTTATTCCTGCCCGCTACGCCCTTAACCCACACTGGCTCGCTTAACTTAAACGTCCTTCCCCCTTATTCCCTATCGCGATGTCAGGGCGGCCTTCAAGCCACTGGAACTCCAGAAAGAGACTTCGCTGACCTGTCAGCGGATCCAAAATGGCGGGGCCTAGTCCCAGGACCGGCAGCCGCTGCTCATGTCCAGCCCCGGCCCCGGAGCCGTCTCCGAGTGGCTCTCCAGGCTCTGATGGCAGATGGGAAAAGGGAAGGAGCCCGTATTCTGCAAGTTGAGGCCGAAGTCAGGGTGGGACCACACAGTCGGCCGTAACGAGTTGGCCAGGACGGGCGGTGGAACCGGCTGCCTTCCCTGTCAGCTCACTGACGTGGTAACTAGCCTCAGTCTAGCCCGCTGCCTGGTAACTGCGCCAGCCCTGCCACGCACAGCCAATCATATCTTGGCACCGCGGAAAATGGCATTCCAGTTATCCAATAGAAGAAAGGAAATTGGCTTCGGGGGGCGGGTAGTGCCTAAAGAGGTGAGATTACACGGGAAAGAAGCGGGTAGGCAGGGAACAACCAACAGATACGCGATCTCTCTGAGTGACAGTTTAAAAGCCAATCAAAAATGGGAAATTATGCCGGCGGTTGGAGAGGTGGAGTTAGAGAGAGGAGTTCGGTTGCAGTGTGTGGTTTGGCAGCGGCTGCTGTGCATTATGGGGAGGAAAGCTACGATTTGCTGGAAAGGGGGCGGGTCCGTTTTGAGAGGTTGAGCGGACGCCCCTGCACCCCTAGGCACATCCCGTCAAAGTCACCTGGGGCAATACCATGCCCCTTAAGGGATCACGTCCTTTCAAAGCCGCTCTGGACTCCTCCCCTCCTTAAAACCGTGCGGCGGTCCAAACCCTCCCCTGCCCTTCCGTCTGCATGCCGAGTTTTGGTTTCTCACAGGTGTGTCTGTCCCATCCTAACTGTTTCAGTTATCTCCTGCCCAATTCCTACCATCTGGAAATAGAAAAAATGAGAGGTGGCAGAAATATTGGCTGTCAAACTCAAGTCCTTCATTTTCCAGAGCAAGAAATTGAGTCCGAGAGTGGACAGCTGGCCCAACGTTCGCATAGTTAGCTTCACAATAGCGGAGCTGAGCGACAACCGCAGGTGTCCTTACCCCCAATCCATCTCTTGCTCACTTCCCTTTGCTACCTCGTCTATCAGTCTGTGATTCCCAACTCTGCCCTTCATACCACACCATGGACACACCTTATCTACTGGGGGAAAAGTATACAAGTTAGTCCAAGTTACCATTGTCAGGAAATTGAAGCCTCTCCTGTTTGCCTTAGAAATTATTACAGGCCTTGAAGGCTGCATGCCCACTTGTTCTCATTCTCCTGCTGGGCTCCCCGGCCCCACTCCTCCATCCCAGCTAACTCCTTTCCTTGCAAGAGATAAAGAGGTGTTGTGGCACAGCAGGGTAAGCCTCCCATATCTGAATGACTGATTCAAGTCGCAGGTACTTCATGCTTCCTATCCAGCTTCCTGCTAATGCAGCAGGGAGACAGCAGATGATTGCCAAGTACTTGGATCCCTGCCACCCACGTGGGAGACCGGATGGAGTTCCTGGCTCCTAGTTTCAGTCTGGCTTGGCCCAGCTGTTACAGGTATTTGGAGAGTTAACCAGCAGGTGGAAATCCTCTCTGTCTGTCTCTCTCTCTCTTTCAAACAAATAAATCTTAAAAAAAAGGTTGCTTAAGGTACTTAAAATTAAGGTACTTAAAATTACCTGGAAATGAGAGTGTATGGGAAGAAGACAGGAGGACGGATGTTCTCCTTGTAGACTGAATGATGGAATTTCCAGTCTGCTGGAAGTGCACTCAGGCATCCCTGAAGACCCAGATAAATCTGCTGGGGTAGGCAATGAAAAAAAAAATACTAACTCCCTCCACACTGCCTCCTATTTATGGATGACCCAAGTCCAGGGAAGCCCCATACCTAAGCCCACAGGAATGTGGTCTCAAACCAGACATACAAAGACCATCCCTGTGCTATAATCCTCTAATCTGAAGAGCACTTCAGTTGCTCCCTGCACCTGCACACTTGGTTCCTGGCCTCTGGATCCAGCTGAGGATCTTGCCTCTTTCACCCAAATGAAATCAGGGGAAAGAAGATCCACCCCCATGGCATCACTTTCCATGGTACCTCTGAGCCATTTTCCTCTTCACTTGAAAATGGGAATCAGTCTCCTGGTCTGATCTCACATTGAGAGGTCCTGGAGAACCTGAAAAGCCAAATGGAAAACTCTCTTAAGAGGGCTAAAACTGCCTCCCCTTCATCTCCACTTCCAAGAACCTCCAGAAATTCATCATCCCACAAGTATGTGATTGTCAGAGCTGGCGCTGTGGTGTAGTAGGCAAAGCGTCTAGCTGTAGCACCAGCATCCTGTATGGGCACCGGTTCAAATCCCGGCTGTTCCACTTCTGATCCAGCTCCTTACTAATGTACCTGGGAAAGCAATAGAAGATGGCCCAAGTACTTGGGCTCTTACACGCACATGAGAAACCCAGAAGAAGCTCCTGGCTCCTGGCTTCAGATCAGCCCAGCTGTGGCCCTTGAAGCCATTTGGGGAGTGAACCAGCAGATGGAAGACCTCTTTCTCTGTCTCTCCCTTTCTCTGTCTGTAATTCTGCTTCTCAAATAAATAAGTTTTTTTTTAAGTATATGATTGGGGCTGGTGTCATGGCACCGGTATCCCATATGGGCGCCGGGTTTTACCCAGTTGCTTTTCTTCCAGTCCAGCTCTCTGCTGTGGCCCTGGAGGGCAGTGGAGGATGGCCCAAGTGCTTGGACCCTGCATGCACATGGGAGACCAGGAAGAAGCACCTGGCTCCTGGCTTCAGATCGGTGCAGCTCTGGCCATGGTGGCCATTTGAGGGGTGAACCAACGGAAGGAAGACCTTTCTCTCTGTCTCTCTCTCACTGTCTAACTCTATCTGTCGAATAAAAAATGTATATGATTGTGCAGTAGAGGTGGAGAAGAGAGATGACAATTCCCTAGGCCCTCCTAAGCACTGACTAGCATCTTCCTCTGAGACTCCAACATGACAAACGTATTGTATTTCTACATCACCCTGGGGATAGAAAGATGAAGAAGACATGGCCTTGCATCTCTTAAATCCTAGTCTCAGCCGGTGCCGCGGCTCACTAGGCTAATCCTCCGCCTAGCGGCGCCGGCACACCGGGTTCTAGTCCCGGTTGGGGCGCCGGATTCTGTCCCGGTTGCCCCTCTTCCAGGCCAGCCCTCTGCTGTGGCCAGGGAGTGCAGTGGAGGATGGCCCAGGTGCTTGGGCCCTGCACCCCATGGGAGACCAGGAAAAGCACCTGGCTCCTGGCTCCTGCCATCGGATCAGCGCGGTGCGCCGGCCGCAGCGCGCCGGCCGCGGCGGCCATTGGAGGGTGAACCAATGGCAAAGGAAGACCTTTCTCTCTGTCTCTCTCTCTCTCTCACTGTCCACTCTGCCTGTCAAAATAAAAAAAAAAAAAAAATCCTAGTCTCATAATGGACAACCAAGCTGATCCCTTTGACATTGCGGGAGGGGTAATTGAAGGCGTGCACAAGGAGGGTCATAAGAGCAAGAGGTTAGACCTCTCACTAACCTAGTACTTCAGGAAAAGATAATAAGGCCTGAGTAGAGCTTAGGAGGAAGGATGGGACATAGCAAGATAAAGATTGATTGAGGGACTGGCGTAAAGCTGCTGCCTGCAGTGCCATTATCCCATATGGGTGCCAGTTGAAGTCCTGGCTGCTCCTCTTCCAATCAAGCACTCTGCTATGGCCAGGAAAAGCAGTGAAGATGGCCCAAGTCCTTGGGCCCCTGCACCTGTGTGGGAAACCTGGAAGAAGCTCCTGGCTCCTGGCTTCAGATTGGCCCAGCTCCGACTGTTGCAGCCATTTGGGGAGTGAACCAGAGGATGGAAGACCTCCCTCTCTCTCTCCATATATATATATATATATATATATACACACACACACACATATATATATATACATACATACATATATATGTATGTATATATATATGCCTCTATGTAATTCTGCCTTTCAAATAGATAAATCTTTTTTTTTAATTATTGATGTCACAAAAAAGGCCATAGGTATGCAGGAAATCACCAGGGGATTTAGAATAAGACAAGGTCAGGTCCTGAAGGTTTAATATGCTGGGCTAGGGAACTTGACCTTTATCTTGAGAGCAATCAGGAGCCCCTGAAGGATTTTAAGCAGGGTCTATGAGTGGTTATATTTGCTTTCAAGGCATATTATGGGACTGGGTTTGAGGTTTTCAGGGGCACCTAACTCTACGTGTACCGTCGACGTGTGTCCTGTTCCTTTTGAGCAGTGAGGTCACACCTTGTTATCAGGAACACAGCCCTGTTGAAGCTGCCAGAGCACAGCCCAGGCCGGTGAGGGATGCAGACTGAGGAGCTGACATAATATGCTTCTGAAGAGCCCTAGCCTGAGCCCAGAGAGGCAGCAGGGGTTGGGAGACAGAACGAGGGTTACTTGTCCAAGGTCACTGGATAGTGGTGCGACTTTGTGGCAGAATTGGAATTCCACTTCAGCTCGTCTCATTCACAAAGCCACCTTTGGAGAAGAGCAGGGGAAGAAGGGGAGAGGAGGAGGGAATAGCAAAGTAAAGAGAGAGGTGTTAGGCAAAGAAGAGCCGAAAGAGAAATTAGTCTTTCAAGTGGCAGAGGAGGGAGGAGAGGGGCAAACAGCAAGAGCAAAGCGGCGGGGGGGGGGGGGGGGGGGGGAGCGAGAACGTGGGAGGATTGGAACGGAGACAAAAGGGAGAAAAGACAGACAGCGACAAGTGTAGAAAATCGGCGAAACTTGAGCGGCAGCGAAGTCTGAGCGCTGAGCCCCGGCGGCCCTGTGCGCCTTCCCACCTGGCGCCCCGGCAGCCCTCTCCCCCAGCACCGCTCCGCGTCGCTCGGGGCGGCGGCCCCACTCCGCCGCCAGCCAGCCCAGCTCCCCAGGGCTACCCAGACCTCTCTACCCCCGGCCCGCCCGGCTCCGCAGAAGCGTCCCGGCTGGAACGCGGTCCCGGCCACGTGGGGAGGGGAGTGGCCCAGTTGCTCAGGAGCGCTTCCAATTGGCGGGGAGGCGGGCTTCCTGGCGGCCCGCCGGCAGGACCCCTCCCCCGAAGGCGGGGCCTGAGGATTCACAGCTGGAAAGGGCGGAGCCCGGGCAGCGCAGCTGGAAAGGGGCGGGGCCTGAGGCGCGCGGCTAGCCGCGGCGGGCTGGGGGCGCCCTGGGCTGCCATAAAGTGAATGGGCGCCGGCGGGGGGTGGCAGTCCGCGGCGAGGCGCACTCACTCCCTCCGCGAATCTGGGAACGCCGGAGCCCAGCTGCGGCCCGGGAGCAGGGGGGCGGCCCCCACCCCGGCCGGGTGTCCGGCCCCTGGCCCCTGCCTGCCCTCCAGACCGCCGCCGCCGCCGCTGACGCCGCTGCTGTCGGGAGTCTGTCTGCTGCGGGACGCACTGTGAGTGCTTGGCCACGCGGGGGGCAGGGGCTCACCGGGCCGAGGGGCCACGGCCCGACTTTGGGACCCCCAGCATGGAGCCCACGGAGGCTGAACTCCGGGACCTGGAGAACAGGTCGACACTAGGAGGGCGGACCGCAGACCTGGGGCTTGGACTTGGGAAAAGGGAAACTCAGGGTGACGACCCCGGGGAACAGGGAAAGGGGAAGACTTCGGGGGATCCGGAACGAAGCTGGAACCCGGGCTCTGCGAGGCAGAGTAGAGAGTCTGGAAACCATTACCAGCGAGCACCCTGGAATTCGGGGGCACGGGGCAGGCGGCCGGGAGCGAAAGGGGCTGTAGAGGCCCTGGTTGCCGGGAGCCGGCTTCGGTCGCCCAGAACGGGGCCCGTTGGCGGCGCCCGACGCCCCTCGGCCCAGGTTCAAGCAGACTCCAGGCGCTGGGAGCAGGGGTGCGCCCGGTCGCACACGCACCTCTTCCCAGCTGCTCCACAGTTGGAACAGGAGCCGTGTTTTGAGAGCCCGGCCACGGGTCAGATGGCCGCTGTGCGGGCAGCAGGGCCAAGGCTGGGCAGCCCAAGTGACCAGGCAGCGGGTTTAGCTTGGGGTGTCAGAACCCAGATGAGTCCCAACCCGGGGCCGCCTGGAATCGGAAGGAATGTCCGCGGCGCATGGGGATAGCAGCTGACAGAGTGTCCGGGGTGGCAAAGTGGGTCTCTCCGGAGCAAGCGCCGTGTGCGGCAGCGGCGGACAGAATGTCCCTGGCCGGGTGGCCAACCCCCCGGCAGCGCCTGCCCAGCTGCTTCGTGTGTGCGATGTGTCGTCTGCGTCTGCTGGGGGTCACCTCAAATCCCAGCTCACACTTTGCAAACTTGTTTCTGTGCCTTTGGACGGTGGCGGTGCTGGGAGCAGGGAGTGAGAGTAAGGGCTACAAGCCCGGCCTTGGGGTCGGGTGGCACTGGGAGACAAACCCCATCTGACCCCAAGGCGAGCATCACTCTCCAGAATTGAGGAGAGAAGGCCAATGACGGGACGGCTAGAGGGAATCCAGACCAGGAAAGGAAGCACTCAAACACAAAGGGCGGTGGGAGACAGGGAGGAACCAGCACAAGTCCAGGACAGCCCCAGTTCCCTCACAAACTTAGAGGCAACCCCTAATTCCAGTTCAGCTGACCAGACACCCCCAGACTCCTCGCCTTCCCTGCAGGGGGCAGGAGCCCAGGCCAGAAGAGAAAAGTGCAGCCCTTTAGCAAAGCAAACCCTGTTTGCCTTGGGCATCCTCAGTGCCAGCAAACTCCCCGATGTGGCGGGGAGCTGGAGAGTAGGGAAGGAGAACATGGAATCCCGACTTTGGAGTCCAACCTGGGGCCCTGATGGCCCTTTAAGTCTGATTGGGAAGGATGTTTCAGTGCTACCCAAGCATCTGTTTGCTTTCTCTGTGGCTGGAGGAGGGTCCTGACACCTCCGGGTCCACACAAGGACCACTCCCCCTGACGCCAGCTCTCTAACCAGAGTCCAGTTAAACTTAAGCGCCTGGAGTAGTGAGGCTGCCGAGCCGATGGCAGTGAGCAGGACAGCCCAGCTGGGGACTGAGTGTTCCTGAGGACGAGTGCGAGGTGCTGTGTTCAGCAGTGTACAGCCTAAACAGTGGGTCTTCACTTTGCTCACTGTCCACCCATGAGCGACCTACACGCTCACTCCCCGCACTCCCGCCTCCACTCTTCAATTCTAACGTTTGCTTTGACGCCGGCTACTTGTTTCTCCACCTTTTTTTGTCCCTTGTCTGCTTCTGGTAAGTGTAGAGACCCACCTCAGTTAACTCCACCACATTCTGAGATGCTTTGCAGGGCTCGTGCTCCCATTGCCTTGGAAAAATCAGTGAAATTGTGGGTGAAATGAAGGGGTCTGGGGCAGGGAAAGATTAGGAAAGGTATTAGAATTTCCGGACTGCCTTGGCCAAAGTTCTGCTTTTGCCAGTAGAAGATGCCATCTTCATGAAGATGATTCGCAAACAAAGGACAGACCCTCTTCCCACCTTTGCAAAAAACAATGTATCTTAGCATGTGCCTGGTCAATGTATCTTAGCGTGTGCCTGGTCAATGTATCTTAGCGTGTGCCTGGTCACCGGCTCTTAGGAGAATATTAGGGGCCCAAAGGAGGAAGCAGGGGTTGCTGGAGAGAGCAAATTTCAAAGTTTCGGCCTCTGAAAGATGAGACAGGGTGGAAATCCACCAGATAATGAAATGTCTAGAAAAGCAGAAGACTTGCTTGCTCCTCAAATCCTGAAGCCGGAGATAAGGGGGCCTCTTCGAATGGGAGTGATGCCAGCTCTGAACGAACAGGAAAACATTCTGTGGCACACAGTGGGCAGCAAACTTGCAGAGCTCGTGTCCAGAGTGGGGGTTGAGGGAGGAAAGAGATGGAATCTTTCAGGGCTCTGGAGAACCTGTGTTTGTCAGAGTCACTGCTGGGGGTTGGGGAGAGGCCGGGAGAGTACAGCCCAGCCCTGGCTTCAAATCTCTCTTCCATTTGTAGAGCCCTGCCATGCAGGGCAGTTGTGAGAATTAAATGAAACCATGTATGTGAAAGTCCTTTGCAAAAGAGAAGCGCCTGAGCAATAAGAAACATTATTACTGGTGTTAGCCCTTCCTGCAGGTCCCTGTAACCACAGAATCTTTATTTGGAAAGGCCAGGTCTTGAGCCTTAAAACAGCCTGATCACATTCCCGATCCAGCCAAGGGAAGGATCTTAAGGACAGATGGACGCCCTATCCCAGGCTCCAGATGTCAGTCACCACTCCTGCCCCTAAGAGGAATTCTGGGGATCCCCCACAGCAAATACTTAGCCTGTCTACCAGACCAAAGATCTTGCTCTGTTCTCTGCCGGCCTCCTTCTCAGAGATGTGAATGCCGGCGCCGCACTCAGGTCCAGGAAGAGAGGGCAGGGCCGCAGGCTGGCGCGGAAGTATGCAGAGAGAAGGCCAGGCCTGTGCTGTCCTCTGAGCTCCGCTCGCTCTAAGGGACGCCTCCTAGAGTGCGGGGGAGGGGAAGGCAGCGAATCTGAAGGGTCCTGACCTTTGGGTACCTAGAGTGTCCAAGGTCACCAACAGGGACCCAAACAAGAGAAAAGAAAAGGAAGGCAGTGCTGGGGAGGGGGGTAGAGGAAGGGAGCTATAGAAAGATGGAAAGAAATGGCTTTCACAACTCCCCCCACCTCTTCCTATTCCTTCTTCTACCCCTGGCTCTCCTTTCCTATCTCCCCCTGCCACATGCATGCTGCTCACCATCGCCAAATAAAGATGGCAAGGGCGTTGCACTGTATGTCACTCTGCTACCTGCAAGCCTCCAGTGACTCCCACAAGTGGAACAAGGCATTAGGAGCGGGGTGGGAGGAGGGCAGAGTGGGAGTGGGAGGGGCAGAACCGTAGGCTGAAGTGGTCCATGTTCCTGATGTGGTGATGTCATTTGAAGACTGGATGGGGCGTGGGGGTGTGCTTTACTTTTAAGTTAAAATAAGTGTGGCTAAAGTATGGACTAGTATACATAATCTGCTTGGATTTTGTCAAGCTGGAAACAAAGAAATTCCACAGATGTTTTCTTTTGCTGGTCTGAGGGGTTTCTGGATGGCAAAGCTGGAGACATGCTGGTCTAGCGTGTGCCGCATCTGAACCACCATCTCCTGTCCCTCCTCGGAGTCCTCTTCCTTCTGACCCTTTCCCCTCTGCTGCTCTCCCATTGCCCACACTCTGGCCATGCAAGGCTCCCGCACTGCCTCTGAACCTGCCAGCTCATTCTCAACCCTGCAGTGTTATTTGGAAAGCTCTGGCTCTTCTCTGCCACCTGAACTCCAGGGGCAGTTAGGTGCTTCCCTTCTCTGGGCTGCCAACACTTTGCCGTCAGTGGACGTGGCCTTCCAATCTCCCTGGATCTGAGAATCAGACCTATACAGTCCCTTTCCATCTCATGCTGTTTGCCTCCCCAGACCATAGGCTCCAAGAAGTTAGGGTCTGTGCTTTCCCATGTTGGGAGATCCTTCTGAGCACCCACTACTTGCTGAAGATAACAAACAAGGGAGCGAGGGCAGAGTGTGGGACCATTTCCCTGACTGTGACCTGAGTGCATCAAGTCATTGCTGCCGCCACCTGAGTCCCAGCTTTTGTCTCAGGGCAGAGAGGACGTCCATCTTCACGGGCTTCCCTTCCAAGTTCAGCAGATCCAAGTCTGGTTGCTCAGCCTCCCTACGGAACAGAGGCCACGTCCACTTAGGGGCCTCCCTTCAGTCTCCAGTTGATGGAAGAATCCATGCGACCTGGTTTCCACCTAGTCCCCACCTTGCTGCTTGCTAGGCTGAGTCACAACATCGCAGCTCCAGCCCTCCAGCCTTCTCCCCCATTCAGCCCTGGTCACAGAAAGGTTCTGTCCCATTGACGTTCCAGGCTGTGCCTCTTGCTCTAGGCACTAGCACTGCAGCCTACAGAGGTGCTCACCCTTTAGCCACCACCCCCCGGCTTCAGGACCTAAGTGGATCCCACAGCTGTCACCTTCTTGCCATGAGCTGTGTCCCTTAGAAACCACGGCTTCCCCACAGAGGCCTGTCTGGCCCCGGAAGCTGTTCTCCACCCTTACACATCCTGGATATTTTGTTCTTCCGCAGTGCAGTCTGTGGCAGGCTTCCCGTCATTCCAGCCTGTATGTCAGAATCACAGCACGCTCGCAGGCCCTCCAGTCTTCCTTGGCCTGGGACTGCTACCCCAACACCAATGGGACCTGGGCCAGGTCTCCCCAGCAGGGTGTGTCAGAAAGCCTGGGGACAACCAGACAGCCCCTCTCAGACCTGAACTTGCCCTCCCACCTACCCCCAGTATCACTCTTGACTCTCCTTGGCCTGACCTGGGATCGCCTACCAGCATCGACCAATCCTGTGACTTCGGGACCTACTGCTTGTCCCTCCTTAGCCCCCGAGGGAGGCGAAGTCCCTGGCCTCAGTCCCAACTCCCCAGCTTCCTGAGCTCCAGCAGTTTGGGGGAGCTTAATCCCCAGCCAGCCTGTCTCCAGCTCAGACTGCAGCCTGGCGCCCCCAGCTCCGCCTGGGCAGCCCACCCGGATGGGAGAGGGCTGGAGGCCTACGCCCCACCCTTCTCTTACTGCCTGCTGGCCCTGCACGTTCTTTCCTCTTTTCTTCAGGCTCAGCCCCGGCCCCTTCCTCTGCTGGTACCAACCCAGCCAAGAGCCTCAGGTTGTCATCCTTTCTTTGCCAGTCCCGGGTCCCCAGGGTGGCTGCCGGCTTGGGGTCCGCTTACCCTCCTGCCCAGGCCCCCATGTTGGATTCAGCGTGTTCCCAACTCATGTTGGTTGTGTTCAGTCTGCAAGGTGGCCTGCTCACCTTTACTCCCCAGGGAGGCGCTTCCCTGGAAGACACAGCGTCTGGGGACAAGAGCCCTGCAGCACGGCCAGAGGCCAGGGTAAGCTCTTTGGCTCCGACCCAGCCTCACCACTCAGCTCCGTGCCCAGCTCCTCCAAGGCACCGAGCAAACATGCGTTCAATGAACGAGGGAAACTCAGGTAGAGTTTCGCCCCTACCGATTTTTATATGGTATGTTTTCACTAAACCTTGCAATAATGCTGAAGGCACACAGAGGTGTGACTCTGAGCTCCCTTTTAGAGATGAATAAGCCCAGAGAGGTAAAGTCACTTGCCAGGGATACACAGCTCGGCAGTCAGGGAGCCACGATATGAACCCAGACCTTTTGACTCCAAACCTAATTCCTCTGGGCTCTCCCAGATTAGTTTCCTACGAGGGGCCCGGACACTTTGCATCCCCCTTACCGCCCAGTCAAGCTCTAATATTCTCATACGTCTCCCCACTCAGCCAAGCAGACTCTTCCAGCAGCCACTGGGTACAGCCTCCTTGGCCTCCCTATCCCCCAGAATCCTTAGCTCCGGGTCCCGAAGTTCAGAGGGGCCAGGGAGGGAAGAGGGGGAAGGGTACTGGTTAGCTCCAAAACAGCCTGACAGCTGTCCCTGTCACAAGAGAGGAGACTGTGACGGTGTGTGTCTGCCTGAATGTGGGAGCACATGTGTGGGAGAGTGTGTATTTGTGTGTCTCTAGCTCCAAGTCCAAGTGCTTATTATGTCTGCGCTGGAGCCGGCATGTGTCTGCACGTGTGTCTGTCCGTCTCTGGGAACACACGGTCCGCACTCTGCTTTCTCGGCCTCCTCTGACGCTGGCCCTTATCCCTCCTCACCCTGCCTCCCTCTGCTGAAAGAGAGGCTGAAACCAAGGCCCAGGTATGGAATGCCGGGGGCAGGGGTGGGTGGTGGGCCAGAGTGAGAGCAGCTGGAAAGGGTGAATGGTGACAGTGCGACTTAGCTTTCCCCACCGGCAAAGCCTCTCTTCCCAGCTCTGTGTTGTTCCTATGGCTTCTAGAAAAGTCAGGGGCATGTTTTGCATTACAAGGGAGTCTTGGGTGTGAAGCAAGGGCAGTCATCAGACCACCCCTTTCTCCAGCCCTTCCGTACTTTCTTCCCTCATCTCCCCTGATCTTTGGGAAGAACTGACAGTCAAGGTTGCCGCAGGTTCCTCCCAAGGGCGCCCCCTTTCCATCAGGGCTTTGCTGGACCACACTCGTCCAGTCCCAAGCCTCTGGCCCCTGGCCTCAGACCTGGAAAGGGAGGAATACTAAGCACACCTCCACTCCTGCCTGCCTTTCCCCCTTCCTTCCTGGCTCCCGCCAGCCCTGCCCCTCCAACCCCAGTCAAAGGCCGGAGATCTGCCTGTAGGAAGAGCAAGGACTGTTTTCCAACCTCCCGCCTTGACCTCTTTCCACCCCCAACCTGGCTCAAAAGGTGGGAGGTGCACAGCTGTGCTTTCTGAGCCGGGTGAAGGGGGCATTACCATGTGCAAACACAGGCTGCTGCCCATCTGCACCCCCCGAGAAAGGCTCCTAATAAATTCAGAGCAGCCAAGTGACACACATCTCAATCTAGGCTAAGCCGCCACATTAATGCCACCGCGCAGCCTGCAGTAAGCCCTTGTTAATGGGGAGGGTGTGTCAGGCAGAGAGACCCCTCCCACCCAGGGCTCCCCACTCCCTGGTCCCTGGCCTCCTTCTGCTCTGACCCACAAGCAGCCAGGTCCCTGGAGAGCCAGCAGGGGAGTCCTGGCGGGGGACTCAGGCGGGCTTGTGGGCAGTACCAGGTTAGGTCTGTGATAGGGAATATGGGTGGGGAGGGGGCTTTCAGAAGCTCATGCCTGCTGCTCGGAGTCGATAGAGATGGACCGGCAACCCATGGGGCGTGCAGGGTGTGTCCAGCAGCCCTAAGAGCAGATGGGGCCCAGGCACCTGGTGGCTTTAGAACTTTTTTTTCAAATGCAGTCTCCCCAGAAATCGTAAAGTAGACTAAAACAGAGCTGCCCTAGTTTGAAGCAGACCAAGCAAGGCCAGGCTAGAGTCCTAGCTGAGTCCCTGAAGGGGTTTCTGGAGAGGGCCACAAGAGACACAGCTTAACAGAGGTTCCGGCTGTGCCCAGGTGTGACCGCTGGGGGCCTGCGCCAGTCTGTGGGGACACCATGCACGCGCAGAGAAGGAGCTGCGGTGCTTGGGGGTGTGGTAGATGCTGTGCAAGTGTGGTGGCAGAACACCAGCTGTGCACCAGGCACTGGTCTAGGTGCCCAGCTGTTAACACAGGCGAGTCTGGCGCATATGTCTATGCGTAAAACCACTCGGTGGGCACCTTTCCCCCATTCTGTCCTAGGACCCACCGCGGTCGGAAACCCGCTGCCAATAATGGGGTGAGTCTGTCACTCTCCACCCCCATTAACCAGGTCGTGTCGTCTCTTCCTTCCAGAGCCCTCCATGGAGTTCGGTCTGCTCAGCGAGGCGGAGGCCCGGAGCCCTGCCTTGTCGCTGTCCGACGCGGGCACTCCCCACCCCCCACTCCCAGAACACGGCTGCAAAGGCCAGGAGCACAGCGGTGAGGGCGCCCCCTTCTGGAGGTGGAGGAGATAGCAGCTCAATCCCTACTTGGGGTGGGACGGGGGTGGCCTCAAGGGAGGGAGCGAACTGGCCCTTGGGCAAGTCCCGGAGAACCCTGGGCGCCCTGTGACCTGCTCCCACCCTGGCCCCCAGACTCGGAGAAGGCCTCGGCATCGCTGCCAGGCGGCTCCCCCGAGGACGGCTCGCTGAAGAAGAAGCAGCGGCGGCAGCGCACGCACTTCACCAGCCAGCAGCTGCAAGAGCTGGAGGCCACCTTCCAAAGGAACCGCTACCCCGACATGAGCACGCGCGAGGAGATCGCCGTGTGGACCAACCTCACCGAGGCCCGCGTGCGGGTATGGCCCTCCCCGCCCCGCGACCCTCACCCGCCGGGGCCTCCCAGCGCTGGCCCCTGCCTGCCTGCCTCGGGCGCAAGACCCGACGACTCCCGTCTGCTGCGTGCGCTCGCCAACCTCCGGGCTCCGCCCCCTGTCCCCCACCCCGCTGCCCACGGCCGCGGCTCTCAGGCTACTCCCACCCCGCCCCCGGCTCCATGCGTTCCCCCAACCCCGTCTCCGGCCACTTGGCCTGGGACCCGGGTCTGGGTGCCGCGCTCGCCCGCCGCTGGGGCCCGGGCCCCCTGACAGCCTCTGTCCCGCGCCCGCAGGTGTGGTTCAAGAACCGGCGCGCCAAGTGGCGGAAGCGCGAGCGCAGCCAGCAGGCCGAGCTGTGCAAGGGCGGCTTCGCGGCGCCGCTCGGAGGGCTGGTGCCGCCCTACGAGGAGGTGTATCCCGGCTACTCGTATGGCAACTGGCCGCCCAAGGCGCTCGCCCCGCCGCTCGCCGCCAAGACCTTCCCGTTCGCCTTCAACTCGGTCAACGTGGGGCCTCTGGCCTCGCAGCCCGTCTTCTCGCCACCCAGCTCCATCGCCGCCTCCATGGTGCCCTCGGCCGCAGCCGCCCCCGGCACGGTGCCTGGACCCGGGGCCCTACAGGGCCTGGGCGGGGGCCCTCCTGGGCTGGCTCCGGCCGCCGTGTCCTCGGGGGCCGTGTCCTGCCCGTACGCCTCGGCCGCCGCAGCCGCCGCTGCAGCCGCCTCCTCCCCCTACGTCTATCGGGACCCGTGTAACTCGAGCCTGGCCAGCCTGCGGCTCAAAGCCAAACAGCACGCCTCGTTCAGCTACCCCGCGGTGCCCGGGCCGCCCCCCGCCGCCAACCTCAGCCCGTGCCAGTACGCTGTGGAACGGCCCGTATGAGCGGCGGGCTGTGGACCGTCTTCGAGGGCGGGGGCGATCGTTCGCAGCCTCCCCGGACTGGGGTCTCATCCAGGCTGGCTTGCCCCCGCTCCAGGGTCGGACAGGGATGCTTGGGCAGCTGGGGGGGGGGGGGGCGGCCGGCTCAGGAGAGGGCCTTCCCCTCCCAGCCCTGAGGGGTGCACTGGGCCCTACACACAGACCGCGCCCCTGGGACTATGGCCAGGGACAGGGACCAGCTCCCCGGGGGCCAGCGCACCCTTGGCCCATCCCGCCTTCTCCAGACTCCCCCTCCCCAGTTTTCAAAGATAAATGAAATAAACGTGCGCGGACTGTCGAAGGCCTGATGATTCAGAGTCGCGGTTGAGCCCTCTTTCCCGTCATCCTTCCCGACTGTCTAGGAGAGAGCTGGATGTACAGGAATGAGGTGAGGGTTCAGACTTACAGGGAGCCAGTGCCCCCCCCCCCATCCCTTTGCTCCAGGACTGGGGAGCCCAGGAACCCGGGGATTCCAGGAGCAACCGGGCGCGCGCAGGCGTGGAGGCCCGGCTGCTTGGCTGGCGTCGGCCAAAGGCGGTGCCGCGACGCCACCTCGTGGTCTCAGGGAGGATAGCTGGCAGGTGGGGGGTCTCGAACGCCTGCTTGCCCGCGTCAATTCTGCAACTTAGGAAAACCTGACTTGAGATAAGGTACTCGGCCTTTCTGCACCTGTTTCTCACTGTTCCTATGAGGGGCTTGCGCCTCTAACAGCAATAAAATTCTGGTCTGTGATGGACATTTATGAAGCGCCTATACGGCCTAGGATTCTTATTGAGCGTCTGTGTGCCTCTCCTCCTTCCACACACCCAGGATTCTCCCCTGCGGATCACTCCACTGCCAGCAGCCTTCTCTTGGCACAGCAGTCCCCAAATCTTTCCCTAGATCTCCGAACCCCCAAAACCCGGTTGAAATATTTAATTAAAAAAATAGATCGGGAGGAAGAAAGGTTCCTGGGTAGAAATATAAATAACTCAGTTCCTGAAGACCTTCCTCAGCCCCATCCCATCCCAGGGTCTGCTTGGCCTTCACATTAAAAACAGAAACACCAACGTACCAGGCCACAACCCCACCCCAGCCGGGACACTTCTTGCCTGTTACCACTTCCGGCCACCTGGGGGCACACATGAAACCATGCAGGTAAGGCGCCCTAATCATTCTCCCAGACCTAAGCCCAGCCCCTCAGTGCCCTGAGGAAGAGAGATCCTGGGGCTCCTTCTCTCCAACCCTTCACTGGCTCTTGGCCTTCGCTGTGACCTTGGGCCTGATGTAGGTTTGGCGGAAGAAGTGGGCAAAGAGGATGAAATAGGTCGTATACAGAACGAGGGACCAGAAGAAGTGTTCGGCTGTGGTGTGGCATCCCCGTTCCTGCCTCCAGGTGTAGGACAGCAAGCCAACAATGGTGCCCACGATCATCTGCAGGATCTGCAGGCTGGTGATGAGCATGGGGAGCAGCCTGGGGGACTTCACCTTGGCAGCCTTCAGCGTGTAGTAGGTGTACATGACAGCGTGCACACCGAAGTTCATGGTCATGAACCAGCCGCCCGAAGGCACTTTGTTCTTGTAGCTGAAGCTTGTGAACACCAGCACCGTGCTGTGGTGGTACCAGTGCACGAAGATGAGTGGCCGCTTTCGCAGGATGATGAAGGCCGTGTCCCCTGGGAGATGGGGAGTCTTAGCTGGCGGGGAGGGGGCTTCTGGGGCAGAGCATCTGAAGAGGGGCTTGGGGGAAGGGACTCTTCAAAGGCTGTGGGAGGAGGGAGGCAGTCCACAGGGCACCAGAGAGACAAAACCTTACCACTCACCGAGCTCAACGATCTTGCTGAGAAGAAAGAGGCAGGACCAGAACTTGATGGTGGAATGCTCGATGTAGTCGCTGAAGCACACGGTTTGCTTTAGGCCCCCCCTGAGCAGCACGGTCCCCATGTAGCCCCAGGTCCTCACTGCTCCCAGGACACTGCAGTGGGGCAGAGGAAGAGGGCGTAAGGGCCATGCCCAGGCACGAGTTCACCCTCTCTGCCCCGGCCTGACCCGGGGGCTAAGTCCCAAACTCCACCACCCTTCCCACAGCCCCTGAGGTTCTGGGGCCTATGTGGCAGGGCCGGCCAGTCGTCTCGAGGACCTGAGGGCTGGGGGAGGGCAGGGCATGCCGGAGGATGGACCTGGAAGCTGAGTTAGAGGCTGGTAGGAGTCTGCGAGGACGTGAGGCTCAGGATGAGAAAGATGGAAGGAGTCTGGGGGAGAAGACATGGGGGGAGGAGCTGGGGAAGTTCTTCAGGGAGGGTGTCAGAGGCTGGAGAACTTTGCCGGAAGTGCAGACTCCGTGAACTCCAAGGGGGTGGAGCAGAAAGACTGCCCGATGAGACTGGGACTGGGGCGAGGGTTTCCAGGCACGGCGGGGATCAACACAGTGGAGGCGAGCTGTAAGGACTCCAACAGGTCTACGGGCTAAGCAGAGGCAGGGGGGGTTGGGGGTGCTTGGGGACGTCTCACCTGAAGACAGCGAGGCAGAAGGACCAGAGCATGAGAGGCCACTGCAGACTGAAGCCCTTGCGTGCCCTCATGTAGTTCTGTCCCACGACGATGAGCAGCAGGTAGATGAGAGCGATGAGGAAGGAGGCGGTCCTGGCCAGGAGAAGGCAGAAGGGGATGGGCTTAGGCGGGTGCTGCTTGAGTGATGGCCACTTATGCTTCCAGGGCAGTGCTCAGCAGTTGAAAGCCCAGCTCTGACGCTTACTGGCTACAAGCGCCCTTTTGGTTTCTTGGCCTTCCTCATTTGCATAGTGAGAAGATGACTCCACTGCTGGCAGTGTCAACGTGTGCAGTACCTATCACAGGGCTGGGGCTATGTCCAAGATTTCTGTGATTACTGCTATCTCAGCGGAGCTGGGGGTGGGTGATGATTGACTGACCCATGCCTAGAATCTACCCAGGGTTGTGATGTAAGAATGGGGCAATAGCTCCTGCCTGGTTGGGTCATGGCAAATTGGCTGGAGCACAAAGTCACCCACAAACACCTCTTCACGGCTTCACAGCTAAGCCAGGGAGCACGAGGAAGGCTTGGAAGAGCTCCCTGACCTCCGCTGCCCCCTTCTCCGCAGCAGGCGCGATGGGGCATTTGGAAACAAGGGGATGCTTGTGCTGCCCGGGCAGCTGTGGTCACCGGCAGGAGGCGCCTGCGGACGCGCACGGCCACTCCAGCAGGGGTTCACGTCACCCTCGCCCCTCAGCCGCGGCGTTCTCCTTGGTTTCTGGCTACTCCTACGTCTCTCTCCCCGTCCTCTTATTTCTGCCCTGATTTCTTTGTGGTCCCACACTACCTGGACCTTGGAGCACGGCGGTGTGGAGCCGGCACCGGGGAGTCCTGTGCCTTTCCTCTTCAGAAAATCACTGGGAGTCTTCAGCCCCTTCTTTCCCTCCCCTCAAATGAGTGGCCACTCATTCCCCAAAGCAGTGAGCGCTGCCCGGCCCCTAGCAAGCCCCTTTTCCCTCCCTCCCCAGGTCTCACCAGTACTCTTCCAAAAAGGGTCTCATGTCCTGGGACATCTCGAAATCATAGGGCTGGAGCAGTTGCCTCACTTCGTTTGACACGTTCATGGCTGTGACCATTTCCTTCTGCAGCCGTCAAAGTTCGGCGCTTGGGTCGTGGGAGGGCTGGGCAAGAGCCTGGGGGACCCAGGGCCGGGTGGATCTCAGAGCAGGTCAGAACAGACCCAGGACGGAAGGGGTCCCTGAGCAAGGCGAAGAGGGCGTCGGGTCCGGGCACGTGTGCTTCAGTCCAGCCGGCTTCCTGCGCCGCTGCCACCGCGTAATTTAACGCGGAATTGCAAGGCGGCGGGTGGCTGGGGGCAGCCCCCGCCCCGCGACCGATCACAAATCAATCTGAACCAAGACACGCCCCTGTCCCGCATCCCGCTCTGATTGGTCGTTTTCAAGGGTCCTTTCCGAAGGCGCCTCGAAGCCCCGCCTATGACCCTATTGCAGCTCCCTCGCCCCGCCCACTTTCCCCGCAGGTCTCCCCCAACACCGCCGCCTGGGGCTTAGCTCGGACCCTGCAGCCTAGCAGGTTACCCAGACCGACCTGTCTTCCCCCAGCCCTGCCGACTGTAGTCGTTGCCTCAGTGTGCTTCAGTCCTGACCTGCTTGGCACTGCGGAGAGAGTGGAGGTGCGCTCAGTCTCCGGATGGGGCCTCAGCTTGCAGGCTCCCGGAGGTCCTGGGAAACTAGGAAGACCTGAAGTCCCTTCTGCCTCCTAGTTTGCAGTCTGCAGCTGTGGGTGGAGATGAATTTTATGGCTGAGGATGTTGATGTTGACGTTCGGGAAGGTGGTTGTTGAGGCTTCTTTATAGTTTCCTGAATGCCTGAACTGCTCCAGTCTGGCACCCAGGAATAACCTTGGTGAAGAAATAGGGTCACCCTCCAGGCTTCAGGGATTCTTGTCCAGCTTTGCTAGAGATCTGCTGTGCTTTAAGGAGGGGACTATCCAGCGCATCTCCCCGAGGCCTGTTGCTATCTCCTCCCAGTCTTGCTAACCTGATCAAAGAAGTGTTTAAAAATGTTTAAGGCAGGGCCAGCGCTGTGCCGTATGGGGTAAAACCACTGGGCACTAGTTTGGGTCCTGGCTGCTCCACTTCCCATGCAGCTCTCTATGGCCTGCGGAAGCAGTGGAAGATGGTCCAAGTCCTTGGGCCCCTGCACCCGTGTGGGAGACCTGGAAGAAGCTCCTGGCTCCTGGCTTTGGATTGGCACAGCTCTGACTGTTGCAGCCATCTGGGGGATGAACCAGAGGATAGAAGTCCTTGCTCTTTTCCTCTCTCTCTGTAACTCTGCCTTTCAAATAAATAAACAAACACATCTTTAAAAAAATGTGGGTATAAATGGCTGTGGTCCCTCAAACCCACAGGCTTCAGAGCAAGGGATCCAGGCAGGACTCTCAGCTCCATCGCCCGAGCCTCAGACACTGCCCATTGGGTGGAGTGGGAAGTCTTGTCCACACCAGCCAGCTTAAGGACTTGAAATGCCTCCTCACCTCTCACTTGATTACCACAGCCACCACTGCTGTCACGCTAACTGATTGTACCATCTCCTTCTCTAAAGACAGTGCTTCTCCTTTGTTGCACTGGAATCAAAAGAACTCCCAAACCCGGCTCAACCCGAAAGGTGCCGGCTCCTTAGGTAGTCTTAGACCAAACTTTGTTGAAGACCACCACTTTCTGTTTCCTTGTTCGGAAGACAGTTCTAAAACCTAGACTGTTTCATGCAGCTTTCCTGCTGAAAACTCTTCAGTGGCTTTTGATTGCCCAGCACATAGCTTGACACTCAGAAGTTTGGCAGATCAATGAATAAGTGAAATAGTGAACATTACAAGCCCAATACCGTTGTCCTGCACTGTGCTGCGTTTTGGTGTAACAATTACCTGAGGCTGGATACTTTATAAAGGAACAGTTTTGTTTAGGTCATGGTTTTGGAAGCTGAAAATCCAAGATAGGGTAGCCCCATTTGGCTGGCCTGTGGTGAGGTCTAACAGTGGATGGCATTACCTGGTGGGAGGGTGTGCAAGAGGGAGCACGTGGTAAGAAGGGAAACGAGAGCAAGGAGGAACCAGGCTCACCCTCTGTAACAACCTGCTTTGGAGGGAACTCACCTGATCCTGACAGAACTACAGCAAACCCTTCTGAGGTGGTGCACGTGACCTCATCATCTCTTAAGGGCCCCAACACCTCAATATTGTTACACTGTGGACCACGCTGCTGGCCTATGAACCTTTGGGGGACACAGTCAAACCACATGCAAACTACAGCAAGCATCTAGGTGTTCTGAGACTCAGACTCAGGCATCAGCACCACCGTTAGCTTGCCATGTGACTCCTGGTGCCTCTGACACCCGTTCTTCATCGGCAACACGCAGGTAGTCATCCTTGCCTGCCTGGTCACAAGGCTGCGATGAGCAGACATGTCTGACAATGCCCATGGAAGGATACTGTGAACCAGACACATGGAAATGGGAGGTCTGCAAACACACACAGAGACTATGCAGTCAGCCCTAGATTCTCTCCAGTGAAGACATTTTACATCGCCTGTCCCCATGAAGTGTAATGGTGAGGCATGGAAGAGGTGTGTGCGGTGTGTATGGAAGAAGGGAAGAGAAAAATCTTCAGAAATTATTTCCTAAGGGAAACTGTCCCCGGCTGTGACTGTCTGGCACCCTTACTGTACACAAACTACTCTCATAGCAGGGTATTTCTTTCCCTCAGTGAGCGTTTGTAGCTGTTTTTCTCCCCCTTTTTTTCCCCCCTTGATCAATGTCTTTCCCCCACTGGTCCTTGAGCTCCGTAAACACAGAGACCATGTCTGTTCTGCTCAACCTCGCTCCCCTAACACTGCACACGTACTGGGTATGCAGGTAACATTTGCTGCGTGAGTAACTGAAGGGGTGAAATCGCCACCTCTCTGTTTATCCCAGATAAATCTTTCACACTTGCCTTTTGTGCTGTCATTGTAAAAGCCTCAACACAGCAGAAGAAGTGGTGACCGTAAGCTTTATGAGCATCTGGATAACTCAGAGAGGTTTATAAAACACCAGTCTCTCCTGCTATCTGGTGTCTGTGTGTTCTCAGCCCAGCTTCTCTCCCCATTTCCAATGCCACCAGTACTTCCTGCCAGTGTCCTCAGCAAAACATATGCCAAACACAATTTGATTTCTCCCTCCAAAGCAAGCTGCTCTTCCCAGCCACCATTTATCTAGAAATGGCAAGGTCATGCCTTATTCCTTCTTGTGACACAAAGCTGCGTCATTTCTGTTAGAGGTGGCCTGGTCATCAGAATGCTTCTTCTGTTCAGATCCTTTTCCAGCCACTTACTAGCCAGGTAACTTGGGTAAGATCTCACCAAACATCTCTTGACTTCTGCTTCCTCACCTGTGAAACGGAGATTATTTAACATCCTCCTCAAAAAGACGTTTGCGATGATTCCAGGAAACTTTGTCTTAGCACTGCAAAGTATAAAGTACTCAGCAAATATCAGTAATTACAACCCGAAAAAGTGGCTTTGTACAAATTTCACCTTCTTTTTAATAAAATTCAATGAAATTAATTAAAAGCCATCATCTAGAGATTGGTTGCAAAACAATGCGAATGTACTTAGCACTACTGCACTGTACTTTAAAAATGGTTACGATGGTAAATTTTACATTATGTATATTTCACCACAATTCAAACATTTCTAACAGAAGAGTCATGAAATAGGCATATAGCTTTTAGTCAATTTACTTTGATTAATTTGAAAGGCTGAGTGACAGAGAGACAGAGAGGTCTTCTATTCACTGGTTCATTCTCTAAATGCCTACAACAGCGAGCTGGGCCATGCTAAGCCCGGAGCCTGAAACTCAATCCACACATGATCTCCCACATGGGTGGTAGGAATCCAAGTACTGGAGCCATCACTGCTGCTTTTCCCAGGCATGCATTAATGGGAAACTGGATCAGAAGCAGAGGTGGAACCTGATCCCACACTCTCCAATGTATGATGCAGACTCTCCAAGCAGCATAAGCAGCTGCACAACCCTTGTCCCATATAGTTTTTTTTTTTTTTAAGATTTATTTTATTTATTTGAAAGAGTTACAGAGTGAAGTAGAGACAGAGAGAGAGGTCTTCCATCCACTGGTTCACTCCCCAGATGGCCACAATGGCCAGAGCTGTGCCGATCCAAAGCCAGGAGCCAGGAGCTTCTTCCAGGTCTCCCACGTGGGTGCAGGGGTCTAAGGACTTGGACCATCTTTTACTGCTTTCACAGGCCACAGCAGAGAGCTGCATCAGAATAGGAGCAGCTGGGACTCAAACCAGCACCCATATGGGATGCCGGCATTTCAGGCCAGGGCTTTAACCCACTACGCCACAGCGCCGCCCCCCCCACCCCCCATATAGTTTTAAATAGGACAGATAGGGGTCAGCGCTGTGGCACAGCAGGTCAAGCCACTGCCTGCAGGGCCAGCATCCCATATGGGTGCCAGTTCAAGTCCCAGCTGCTCCTCTTCCGATCTGGCTTTCTTCTGTGCCTGGGAAGGCAGCAGAAGTTGGCCCAAGTCCTTGGGCCCCTGCACCCACGTGGGAGATCTGGAGGAGGCTACTGGCTCCTGGCTTCAGATGAGCACAGCTCCAGCCATTGCAGCCAACTGGGGAGTGAACCAGCAGATGGGAGGCTGACCACTCTCTCTCTCTCTGCCTCTCCTCTCTCTATGTAACTCTTTCAAATAAATAATCTTTTAAAAAAATAGGATAAAGGGTAAATATTTTACTGTATAATAAGCCTATTCATAGTCCTATCTCTGACTCTTGGTTGCTTTCTAAGGACATAAAAACAGGCTCATTTTATCCTCTCCAGTGTCTCCAAATCTATCTAAAACATGTATCAGCTCAGGTCATTCCCCTTCAAAAGTAACAACAGGGGCGGGCACTGTGGCACAGCAGGCTGGGCTGTCACTTGGTCACCTGTACCCCATATTGGAGCACTGGCTTAAGCTCTGGCTACTTTGCTTCCAATCCAGTTCACTGCTAATGTGCTTGGGAGGCAGCAGATGATGGCTCATGTACTTGAGTTCCTGACACCCACATGGAAGACCCAGATGAAGTTCTTGGCTCCTGGCCTTGACTTGGGCCAGCACTGGCTGTTGAGGCCATCTGAGTAGTGAACCAGAGGATGAAAGATTTCTCTCTCTACCTCCCTCCCTCCCTCCCTCCCTCTCTTTCTTGGTAATCTCCCTCTCTCTGTGTCACTTTGTTTTTCAAATAATTATATCTTTCTTTGGTTTTAATTAAGAGAAAAAGAAGGGGAGGGTTGCGGGTGGGAGGGAAGTTATGAGGAGGAAGCCATTGTAACCCATAAGCTGTACTTTGGAAATTTATATTCATTAAATAAAAGTTAAAAAAAAAAAAAAAGAGAGAGAGAGAGAGAAAGAAGGGGCCAGAGTTGCTTTTTTTTTTTTTTTTTTTTGACAGGCAGAGTGGACAGTGAGAGAGAGAGAGAGAGAGAAAGGTCTTCCTTTGCCGTTGGTTCATCCTCCAATGGCCGCCGCGGCCAGCGCGCTGCGGCTGGCGTACCGCGCTGATCCGATGGCAGGAGCCAGGTACTTATCCTGGTCTCCCATGGTGTGCAGGGCCCAAGGACTTGGGCCATCCTCCACTGCACTCCCGGGCCACAGCAGAGAGCTGGCCTGGAAGAGGGGCAACCAGGACAGAATCCGGTGCCCCGACCGGGACTAGAACCCGGTGTGCCGGCGCCGCAAGGCGGAGGATTAGCCTAGTGAGCCGTGGCGCCGGCCCAGAGTTGCATTTGCAGTGGGTTAAATTGCTATCTGCAATGTGAGCATTCCATATTTTAATGCTAGTTCAAGTCCTTGCTGCTCTGCTTTCAATTCAGCTTCCTACTTATGTGCCTGGGAAAGCAGCAGAAGATGGCCCAAGTGCTTGGGTCCCTGCCACCCATATGGGAGACCTGGATGTAGTTCCAGGCTCCCAGCTTCAGACCAACAGGTGTAGGATTCCGCCCCCCCCCCCCCAATATCCATTGCTCTGAATTAAAAAAAAAAAAAAAGGTCATCAGAACAAAGACCAGATTCCTGAGTTTAGCCCTA